GCCTTCCCGAGAAAAACACGGCGTTATTTTTTTCTCCCACGGGACGCTATTGTTCCCGATTTTTCGGAAAATTTGAGATCCGATTGTAATTCCTCGGAATTTTTGAGATACACTGGAAAAATTGTTTTTATGCCTTTCGAACAGCGTTCGTAATATCTAGTGAAAATGGAAGAGAACTTGCATTGTTGTTACACTTATTAATTAATAAATAGTGTTATTACTATACTTATTAGTTAATAAATACTGTTGTTACTATATTTAATAATTAATAAATACTGTTATTACTATACTTATTAATTAATAAATACTGTTATTATTATATTTATTAATTAATAAATATTATTATTAATATACTTGTTAGTTAATAAATACTGTTATTACTATACATATTAATTAATAAATACCGTTATTATTATATTTATTAATTAATAAATACTGTTATTGTCATATTTATTAATTAATAAATACTGTTATTATTATATATATTAATTAGTAAATACTGTTATTATTATATTTATTAATTAATACATGCTGTTATTTTCATATTTATTAATTAATAAATATTGTTATTGTTGTACTTATTAATTAATAAATACTGTTATTATTATGTTTAAAAATTAGTAAATACTGATATTATTATACTTATTAATTAATAAATACTGTTATTATTATATTTATTAATTAATAAATACTCAAATCTCAAGTATTGAGCATAATTAAAAAATGCATTTTATGAATATAACGTTCGCGTCGCGTAACTTTGATCCAACTTTTTAACTTGATTTGTAAAAGTATTTTATGTGACACAAGTATTCGAAACATATTTAATTATCCTAACTTTGTCTCGACGCGTAAATTTAGTTGGGCACGATGTATTTCCCAGAAATGATAGAGTAATCGAGCCGGTGCTACGTCTGATTGTAGCGTAAGCACGTAGCGTTTAATTAACGCGCGCAGTTTCCGACTGAAATCAGGTGTATTATGAACTTCACCTCCCCCCCCCCCGTTCGTTTGACAATTATGTTCCCGAGAATTTAACTCGACCGCTAATCAATTCCAGGAATGTTTATAAATCGCTCGCCCACCGATGGCCTCGTTCGCAAGAAAAATGAGAGATATATTCGTGGCGCACGTGAGAGGATGATACATATTTCTTTCTTCTCGTCTCTCTCTCTCTCTCTCTCTCTCTCTCTCTCTCTCTCTCTGCGCGAACAATATTCGTATTTATAAAATCGAGCACGGAACGCTCTCAGCAACACGACACCGCCCGGCGAGGTTCTAATGAAACAATAGCGCGACAACGAAGGGCAAAACTGCGCGCAAGTAAAAACAGCGGCGAATTTTCCGCGCGAGTTTTCTAAGCCAATATTATGAAAGCCGAAAATACACGTGAAAAGATATTTGCTTCCCGTCCCGAATTTTGTGCGGGCCGCGGGAAACGCATCCTTGACACATCGCGTTCCGTGCGAAAAAAGCGCCAATCTTTTCTTTTTTTTTCTCTCTCTCTCTCTCTCTCTCTCTCTCTCTCTCTCTCTATTCATTTGTCTAGAACAGGGGTGTCAAACTCAAAAACTAACTTGGGCCGAATAAACAATGCTTAACTTTAGGTGGGCCGCAAAAAAAGATCAATGTTCATAGAAACAAATATTTGTATTTTGACTAGTACATTGTAATAAACATATATAAAGTTAAATTATTGTTTACGTCCTGATGCTTGACATCTCTTCTCTGATACTATCTCTCCTATTTTGGGAGAAATTTTATTTGCCGAGACTACTTTCAAAATGTCTATAATTCACATTTCTATTTTATTTTTACTTTGCGTCGGATATATTGACTGGGCCGCAAAAAAGATCAATGTTCATAGAAACAAATATTTGTATTTTGACTAGTACATTGTAATAAACACATATATAAAGTTAAATGATTGTTTACGTCCTGATGCTTGACATCTCTTCTCTGATACTATCTCTCCTATTTTGGGAGAAATTTTATTCGCCGAGATTATTTTCAAAATGTCTATAATTCACATTTCTATTTTATTTTGGTCTACAAGGATCGCTCGATTTTTCGTGACTCCGGCGCGGAACGCGTGCTCACGCAAAAGATTGTAATTGGCGTCGGTGCTAGCTCCGACACCGTCCGACTATACAATTCGACTAAATTGGTGCTTTTACGTCCTTGTTCGCGAGTTCACGAGTTATTTTCGAAGCGGCGAACTTTTTACTCTTTCTTTCGATAAACGGACTTCCGATCGGAGTCGGAACGATCGAATCGCGAAAGGAATATCGGCTGCTCTCGGATTAATCCAAATCGATCGGAACAACTGAACGAGCTACTTCCAGTTGGAATTCGCGGTTCGTTTGGATCGACGATCTTCTGCTGCGTTTCTGTAATTTCTGTTATTTTTTCGACTCTTAGATTGGCAAATGAGGGACCAAAATATTTAATTTATAATAATATAAATATATATATTTATATAATATTATATTATTATTTAATTTTGATAACATTATATTTATTATATAATATTATATTATTATTTAATATTTATAATATTATATATTTATTATATTATATATATAATATTATATATATAATATAAATATATTAATAATAATTTAATATTTAATCGAAAAGCACGCGACGTTCCTTGCGTTTTCGCTGGCTCGAACGTCGAAGCATATATTCTGTCTCACACTTTTGACAAATGAAATGCAGACACGCAACGACAAAATCATTAATCTTTTGTACATTTTTCTCCACTTTACCCGATCTACAGATCGATGTACGGACGATTACAGAACATGATTACGCGCGTTCAAACTTTCAAGTTAGGTCGCGCTGTCAATTCCTCATTTACTGACAATTCCATTTTGATCACAAGTTTTCGAAGAATATAATCGTCTCGGTTAATTATGTTCGATTAATAAGATCAAGAAGTTACCTTCTCATTTTTTGGTACTCGTTTCTAACGCCGTTCCCGCGAAGTAAAGTCTTCTAACTCGATGGTCAGGGGATATAGTTTGACCAAGAACTATGTATACCCTTGGAACAGGCCGATGAAGCTTCATTAACGGCACTGATTAAATCTCACCTTGACATTGCGGCCTAATGGACGCGGCACCTTCAGATATTCCTGCACTTTCCGCGATGCATATTTAGCCGCAAGGTCTGCACAGCCTCTCTGGGCCACCATTTGAACGATGATCGCGGTCAAATAGTTCGGATAGTTTTCCACGCGTTTAACCCTTCGGGTACGACATACCTTTCCCTGGAAAGTTGGCCGGAATTCATAATTTCGTGCGATTTTTATGAAAATCGACGCTCTATTCGCGTTCTTCTGGCCGCTGAATTTGAATACGAAAATGCGGAAAAACTGCTATATTTTCTGCGAATATCTATGATTTTCCGATATTTAGCTATAACAGTATAATTAGGGTGTAAAATTTAACGATCTTAATTTCAATATCTTTAACATTGCAATGATAGTCGACGTGTGGAATTCTGAGAAGCGCGCAATAATGGACGAAAAGAAATCGTACGCAATAATCTGAATTTTAATAATCAATTTTATGGTGTCTGCTTTAAACTCCGTAAAATAATTTGCAACAAGGCTCGAGTAATTTCAATATTTATTCGCGATTAAGCTGTCGTCGACCAACTTTCCTGTTCCTCGAATAGCTTTTTTGCGACTTTTGCGATTAGTATTTGCTTAGGGAAGTTTCGCCCGTCTCCTTTCTTTCGAGATCCGTTCGAATTAGTGCGAGAACGCTCGAGACACCGAGAGAACGACAATCGGAAGGCATTTGCAACGATACAAAGCATCGCAAAGCATCGCAGTACAGTCGCAAATTGAAATTCCGTGGTTCCGGGAGATCCTTTGGTCGGACCATCTTCAAGCACGCGTTTATCCAGCTAATCGCCAAATATTTTCTCCGACAACAAAGCTGCTACAAGCGACGGATAATTTTGAAATCATTTTATCGCCGAGTATTATCCCGCGCTCCGCAAATATTTATTCAACGTAGAAAGCAATTTCACGGCTACTTTATTACACTAAAACTGTTTCAACGTTTCGCAAAGACGGGCTCTAATCTGATTATTGCGGCCCTAAGTGCTCTGTCCGGTATTTTGAAAATTATTATACCGAAACGCATGGTGTAGAAATAGCCAATAAATATACGCGACGAAACGTGGGCGCTGTCACCCACCTGTGGATGTCGGAAGCACCCTGGGGCGTGAAAGTTCCGATTTATTTCGATTTATTCGCTTTCTTCGCTATTTTATCATTATGATGATCGTAGACGGCGGAGGGAATATCCAACGAACATAACTTTTCCAGCCACGTATTGTAAATTCTGTTTAACCATTCGCACTCGCGTGGTGACTCTGAGGCGCCACTAAAATCGTTACATCATATTCCAAGATAATTTTGATATTAACAAAGTTTACATTGAAGAAATTCTTAAAGCTGTAACTGTTGCACGAGTCACCACAAAAATTTTAGATCTTCCGTTAATCGTTTTTTTTAATAACTTGGAAATAAGATATTGAGAGAGACGATGGAAAATATATTATAAATTATATATTATATATTACCTTGGAAATAATATATTGACGATGGAAAATATATTATATATTATATGTTAACTTGGAAATAATACATTGACGATGGAAAATATATTATATTATATATTATATATTGATGATGGAAAATATAATATACCATATATTATATATTACCTTGGAAATAATATATTGACGATGGAAAATATATTATATATTATATGTTAACTTGGAAATAATACATTGACGATGGAAAATATATTATATTATATATTATATATTGATGATGGAAAATATAATATACCATATATTATATATTGACGATGGAAAATATATTATATATTATATGTTAATTTGGAAATAATACATTAACGATGGAAAATATATTATATTATATATTATATATTGACGACGGAAAATATAATATACCATATATTATATATTAACTTGGAAATAATATATTACGTTCGCATTATCTTTCTACTATTCAAAATTTTTGTCAAAACTAAGAGACTACAACTTGTGTCCCCTCAGCGAAGTAAAAATTCGAAACCTCTCCGATCAATGTATTCAATCAATTAATCAGTGCATTCAAAAAATAACTAAACATTTATGCTTTTAACCGCGCATGGTTCCCATACGAGCGCAAATTCCGCGGTCTAACGATCCGTCCGAAATTACCTAGCACAGGAGCGGAACTATTCAAGCGGAAGATCCTTTAATCGTTCGAACAACGCCTAAGTTGTAACCGCAACCGAACGGAACTCTGTAGAGCATGTCCCGTCGTCTTAAGCCGCTTCGAGCCGCTATCCAACGCGCATCAACAGATTGTGGGAACTCCGGGTATCCGCGACCAGCCAAATATAACCGTAGTCCGGCGACGCGCGGATTAATTAATTAGTCGGTTGTTTGCCGAAACACGGTGATCCAGCGAGGCCGCAGTTAACGTAGTCCGAATCGGGATCGGTGAGTCGATCGGACCGAGACTCGCCCTCGGCCTCCATCGATATGCTGTCGTACCGAAAGCACGGTGTAACACATGGCTCGGTTCGTCCGCCGCAGACGTCGGTGTCGCTGGTGCCCGGCGTTTTATCGTCGTCCGACTGGTCGGCCTGTTGCTTCAAAAAGTCTTTCACCCTCTCGTCGAACTCGTCCCGAGGCAGCAGCTCGTCTTGGAACTTCTCGATCGCGTCCAGCACCGATTTCATGACCCTCGTGTGCTCGGGATGGAACATCTTGCCCTCGGGATTCTCCTTGAATAAGTACTCGGCCTGTGGAACAAAACGTAATTCTGGATTCGAATTTGACCAGAAAGTGAATCGTCTTTGTTCTGCGATCGTTCGACCGCGCGGTTCGTCGGAAAAGTCGTGAAGCACCCAAGTCGTGTAGCGCTCAAGTCGTGTAACATCCAAGTCGTGTAGCACCCAAGTCGTGTAGCACCCAACTCATGTAACATTCAAATTGTGTAACACCCAACTCGTGTAGCACCCACGTCATGTAACACTCAAAATGTGTAACATCCAAGTCGTGTAGCACCAAAGTCATGTAACACCCAAGTCGTGTAGCACCCAAGTCGTGTAACACCCAAGTCGCGTAACATCCAAGTCGTGTAGCACCCAAGTCGTATAGCACCCAAGTCATGTAACAATCAAGTCGTGTAACATCCAGGTCGCGTAACACCCAAGTCGTGTAGCACCCAAGTCGTCTAACACCCAAGTCGCGTAGCACTCAAGTCGTGTAACACCCAAGTCGTGTAATTCGCTTCAAACTAGACCGCAAGCGGTCAGCTTACTTCCAAGTAAGCTGAGAAGTTTCTTCGAGAACATAGAACGATTTTTTTACGCTGAGTTGACACGTGGGAAGAACATGGCGACAATTAAAACGGTATTCGTGAAACACGTTTTGCACGTGCAACGCGAATCTTCTTATACCGTAACATTTCGTCGAATGTTTTTTTTGTCGGAGATAGTTTATTTTAAAAAAAGAAGAAAAAAAGGTAAAAAAGCAAGAAAATAAAAGCAGAGTTCTGAATAGCCCACTGATTACTTTCCGTGCAGCCATGGAACAAACATGTTTTCACGCTATGAAAATACGTATTTGAGAAGATTGAATACTTCGGAGTGGCGGCGCGAGATCAAAAACAAAAGCTGCAAATCAAATTCGTTGGTTATGCGGAACAGAGTGCCGAGTGCGCGACACGGATGTGTGCGAAACGACTCTTCCTCGAGATACTAGATTGTGGCAAAAGGTCCTTCCGTAATATGCGCGTTTTATGCTGTTATGCGACGCGAATGTGCTCTCGAATGACACGACCGTCTTTTTACCAATGTTTCGTTTCATTAGCTTTCGTTTATTTATCTACATCCCCATTTGTTTGCTTAACACGTTACACACGTGTTAACACGTGTACCAACGGTGGTACACGTTAAACTTGATCTTGAAACCATGTGTACCACCTATGGTACACGCAGACATATTTATTTAATGCGCTGAAAACATATATTCTATGAGAAATTTAATTCTGTAAAATATATTTCCACCAAAATAATGAGGCATTATAAAAAATGCGGTATAAAACAAAGCACATAATTTTGTTTAATTGATATATATAATATAAATTTTATATATTATATTATCTATATAATATGACTGTTATATATATTGACTGTTAAAACAAGAGATGCATAGAAATGGCTTTTTCGGGCAATCCCTGCAAAACGTCGTTACTCTTATAGTCTTTTGTCTCGCTACTTCAGTCCCTCGTTTTTTACTCTCAAATTCGAATACAGCAGGTTCTTTTTACTAATCGAAGAATTTCGAACCGACTGATTTTTACAATCTAACTAATAAATGGTACGACAAATCGAGCAAAAATGGCTTGGCACGGAACGTGTTCAAATATCATCCTAAGTTTGCCGTCAGACCATAATTTCTACCGAGTCGGTGCAAAAAGTTGAAAATTATTCTTCGAATTCCGGGAACAAGCGTTATTTCGAGCGCGCTGATGCAACGAAAGTTGCGCGACTCTTACTTTATCAAACTTCGAGTAATTGCATTTGCCACGAACGTCTGGCGAACGATGACGTTCTTAATCCCCTCGCGTTTCAAAGAATTTTCTTCCGATACTTTCAAACGGCGTTACTTCAAATTACAAAGCACAGCGAAATCTGCCGAGAATCGACGTATCGTTCGCGATCGCGAACACGGTGTTTCCGAAACGAATATCGCCGCGGCGCGCGCTTCGGTGCTATCTTTTCGACGTCGGGGCGTGTTATGAGCGAGCGATTTTCAAATGGCCGGGGTATTCCTAGAAACATGAATCATCCTGCCGTAAATTATTGTCGGACAAACAACGGACAACGCCGTTGAATCGCGCGTCGCAAATCACTTTGTATTCCGCGCGCGGCCCGTAATAAATCACACGCTATTGACGCGCCGCTTTATTCTCAGACAGCCTGTTCTATTTCCAATAAAAATGAACGGCGTGTTATTGACGTCGGAGCGATGCAACTATGCGGGGGGGAAACGGCTCGATGGAAGCTGGTCGCGTGCAATTCGAATACCCGATAGACAATACTCCTAACTGGATCCATGTATCTCGATACGGTTTCCCGAGAACGCGGACGCGAACGCTCGGCCGGCGCCGGCGCGTGCACAATGCCCGTGCACGCGTTTACTGGTCCATTTAAAAATGGGTCGGACCTCGTGTCCCCGCGAGCTTCCGACCCACTTTTTCCACGTAATCTCGCCCGCGTTACATTGTCCCCGCTGTACAATGCGTATATATCGTGCAACGATCGACGCGTCGTTTCCTTCTTTCGAGCTCCCTCAATCGGAATCGGCTCGCTGAAAAACCCGCCGCGGAACTAACTAGCACACTCTCGGCGACTGCATCGAGAGAGCCGCTTTTGACACGCTCGCATTCGAGACTCGCGGATCTACTTGCGGATGTCACGATTCAAACGAAATGGATCGGCAGTTCTTTGCGCTTGATCATTTCTCTAATGGAACGTGTCGATTTGCTTTCATTGCGAGATATAATAGAAGATAGATAATGGAATTAATGGAATTAATGGAATTAATGAAATGAATGGAATTAATGGAATTGATGGAATTGATGGAATTGACTGAATTGACGGAATTGATAGAATTAATGAAATTGATAGAATTGATAGAATTGATAGAATTGATAGACTTAATGGAGTTGATAGAATTAATGAAATTAATAGAATTAATGGAATTGATAGAATTTCTAGAATTTCTAGAATTGCTAGAATTGCTAGAATTGCTAGAATTGCTAGAATTGCTAGAGTTGCTAGAGTTGCTAGAATTGCTAGAATTGCTAGAATTGCCAGAATTGCCAGAATTGTCAGAATTGCTAGAATTGCCAGAATTGCTAGAATTGCTAGAATTGCTAGAATTAACAAATAATAGTAAAATCAAATTTTGTCTCGCTTTAGAAAACACGAGTAAAATTCATATCTCGTCCTAATACTGCAAGTGGTTGACCATTAAAAAAGATGAAATGTTTAATATAATAATCACAATTTTCCACGAATTTGTGCCGGTATACACACTCAACCGCAGATGCAAAATATGTTACTCTCGAATACAAACATTTCGTTTAACCATAAACTGGAGGCTTTTTGATAGTCACGTTGGATTTCGTTATTTCTTGCTCCATCAAATCCTGTGAACTAAGTTATTGCAGAATATCCGAAAGGTCAGACGTGTAGATGCGCAGTTAAAGTGTTACCTTTGCACCCTGAAGCCATGCGCAAGGATTCTCGAAATTCTTTAAGACGGCTCCATAGCCTTTTACAACTACCTTAAACTCTTCGAAGGATTTCCTACAGAGCTCAAAGATCCTTGACAAACAACTACGTGGCCTGCACTGCTTGCATCGAACGTGGCTTATATTGGCGTGCTGATATTGGCCGAATTTCTACTTGGAGCGCATTTTTACGAACTTTAAAATTCTACAAGAGATTCGTCATTCCGTGCCATAATTTCTCTTTGGGAAGAGGAGATACGACTATTCGAGCCTTGCAGCTCGTTTTCATAGTTGTTGACAAATTCGTAACTATATATATTCGTACTATCGTCTCTTCCGAAATTATCCATTTTAGTGAACAATTTGAGCGACAGTAAGGGAGACATTACTGTAGATCGAAAATAACACACTGACATTTTAGATATCATTTAAGTGTTGTAAATTAATTAAAAAAATTTCTTCGTCATTAATGCATAAAATCCGTAATCCGTCCCATAGGCATTAAATCGTTTTAATTTCTTGCTCGTCCGAAAGAAAAAGATCGCTCTGGTGGCGAAGGTGATCCAGCACATTCTATTATTTCAATTCCCGTCCGTCGTTCGATGCGCTACTTGGCGCGGATCGATAACAGACACGCGTTTCCTTGAGTGGAGGCTGCTGGGATCGCGGGGCGAAGAGCATGCTCGAAGAGCAGCTCGGTCTTTTTTAGAAAAACGAAGCCTCGACCGAGGACCGACCATTCACGCGAGATCAATTCTCGAGAGCCGTCACAGAAAACAAAAATCACAGCGATTTCTGCTGTGTGCGCACAAAGCTCTCTCTCCCAGCTTTTATTTTGTTTTCCGTTGCCCCGTAGTAAAGGGCCCTTTTGTACCTTTACATCCGACATCCCGGCCGGATGAAATTGTTACTCTTGAGATACGTATAAGAGGTTATTGTGTTTCAATTTCTCAATGGACATCCGAAGACAGACGGACGGTATATTATTATATTCTTCGTGTTTTCATTGCGACTTTTCCAGAACTTTCCCATGGAACTTGTTCCCGCAGACTGCCCCTTCTCGATCAAGCTTGTGCTCAAACAGCTTCGAATTAATTAACTATTAATTAATATTACATATTATATATTATATTGTATATATAAAAATAATAAATATATATATTATATTATATATTATATTATAAACTTTTAAATACCGGCGATGCGTTATTATTTTGTTAAAAATATTCTGGACCGGATAAATAATGAGCGTGCATTATTTCGTAATATATTATATATTATATTATTATATATATTATATTATATTATATATTGTATTATAAACTTTTAAATACCGGCGATGCGTTATTATTTTGTTAAAAATATTCTGGACCGGATAAATAATGAGCGTGCATTATTTCGTAATATATTATATATTATATTATTATATATATTATATTATATTATATATTGTATTATAAACTTTTAAATACCGGCGATGCGTTATTATTTTGTTAA